GAAGCAACACCCACAGCACCCCATTCCTTCTCCTCTCCTTCCCACATGGACCTCAGTGCAGCCTGGGCTGTGGGACTTTGCTGTTGGGTGTTGAGAGGGGAATGGGGCAGATCCATCATGAGAGCCTGGGACTTTCTCCCATGCCTGCCCTTCCCCTTCCCACCCCTCTGGGAGTCACCCCAGCTCCTGCAAACAGGAATCAAGGTGAGTTTTCACAGCCAAGGAAGGCAGGAGCCCTAGATCTTCACCGTGCATAGGTCTTCTGTCCAGATCCTCCCTGAGTTATACAGCCCCTGCATAAACCCTGGCTCTCAGGGATATCCTCCTCTCCTTTCTCTGCACTGAAGAAGAGTAATTGTGGTGGGTGACTCCCTTCTGAGGGGCACAGAAGGGCCCATTTGTCGACCTGATCCATGCCACAGGGAAGTCTGCTGCCTACCTGGGGCTCAGATTAGAGATGTTAAAAGGAAACTCCCTGATCTGGTGCAGCCCTCTGACTACTATTCACTGCTGTTTTTTCAGATTGGCAGTGACGAAATTATTACAAGGAGGGCAAGGGCAATGAAGAGAGACTTCAGGGCCCTGGGACAGCTGGTTAGAGGGTCTGGAGCGCAAGTGGTGTTTGCCTCCATACCTGTTAGAAGCAAGGGTGAAGAGATAAATAGGAAGAGTCTGCAGATTAATGTATGGCTACATGACTGGTGCCAAAGGCAGGGGTTTGGGTTTTTCAATCATGGGCTGCTATATGAGACACCTGGTTTGCTGGTGGCAGGTGGGATACACCAGTCCCAGAGGGGGAAAAGGTTTTTGGGGCAGGAGTTAGCAGGGCTCATTGACAGGGCTTTAAACTAGATATGAAGGGGGGGAGATAACTGGGCCTGTTAGGGACAAGCCCAAGAGAAACATGGTAGGGCTTGAAGGATGGCCGACTAGGGAGGACTCTCAATGTATTGTTTCATTTGAGGGAAAGAGTAGTTGTATAGACCCTGTCCCACAGGGGAAAAAGGTACCAGGGCAAGAGTTAGCAGAGCTCACTCACAGAGCTTTAGGTTAGATTCAAAGTGCGAGGGGGTTGTAGCTGGGTTTGAACTAGTGGGGCATTGTTCTAGTGTTAATGAAGACCAGAAGACCTCCCGCCTCCCAAGGGTGCCAGTAGCGTGCTCAGCTCGCTCCCTGAAATGCCTGTACACCAATGCACGCAGCATGGGGAATAAACAGGAGGAGTTAGAAGTCTGTGTATGGTCTAAAGGTTATGATCTGGTGGCAATTACAGAGACATGGTGGGACAGCTCACATGACTGGAATGTGGTTATGGATGGCTATGTCCTTTTTGGGAAAGATAGATCAGCAAAGCGAGGTGGTGGAGGTGCTCTTTATGTGAGAGAGAGACTGGAATGTATTGAGTTCTGTCCAGAGGCAGATGAGGAGCAAGTGGAAAGTCTGTGGGTGCGAATTAAGGGACAGGCTGGTACGGGTGATACAGTTGTGTGGGTCTATTATAGACCTCCTGATCAGGATGAAGGAGTTGATGAGGCTTTCTACAGGCAACTGGAAGCAGCCTCACGACTACAGGCCTTGGTCCTCATGGGGGATTTTAGCTACCCCAATATTTGCTGGAAGACTTACACAGCCAGTCATTCACAGTCTAGGAGGCTCCTCCAGTGCATTGATGATAACTTCTTAATGCAAATGGTGGACAAACCAACTAGGAGAGGAGCGCTGCTGGATCTAGTACTCACCAACAAGGAGGGTCTGGTTGAAGCGGTGATGGTCAATGGCAGCCTGGGCTGCAGTGACCATGAGATGGTGGAGTTTGGGATCTTGTGTGGGAGGAATAGAATACCTAGCAAGGCCACAATTCTGGATTTCCGAAGGGCAAACTTTGGCCTCTTCAATCAATTGCTAAGGGAAGTATCATGGCAAAGGGTACTAGGTGGTAAAGGGGCTCAAGATAGTTGGTCAGCATTCAAGGACCACTTCTTCAAAGCTCAGGATCAGAGTGTCCCAATGAGTGGGAAGTCAAGTAGGGGAGCCAGGAGACCAGCATGGTTAAACAAGGAACTGCTGGGCAAACTCATACGGAAAAAGAATCTATGGATTATGGAAGGAGGGGCTGGCCACTTGGGAGGAATATAGGACAGCTGTTAGAGGATGTAGGGAAGCAATTAGGACAGCTAAGGCCTCCTTGGAACTTAATCTTGCAAGTCGGGTCAAGGACAATAGAAAGGGCTTCTTCAAATACACAGCGGATAAAACTAACACAAGAGGCAATATAGGCCCACTGCTGAATGAGGTGGGTGCCCTGGAGACAAAGGATATAAAGAAGGCAGAGGTGTTGAATGCCTTCTTTGCCTCTGTCTTTATTCCTGCAGACTCTCCCTGGGGGACCCAGATTCCTATAGCCCCAGAAGGAGTTGGGATAAAGGAGGAGTTTGCTTTGGTAGATGAGGATTGGGTTAGGGATCAGTTAAGTAATCTGGACATCTATAAATCGATGGGTCCGGGTGGAATACACCCATGGGTGCTGAGGGAGCTGGCAGAGGTCATTGCTGAGCCACTCTCCATCATCTTTGGTAAGTCGTGGGAAACAGGTGAGGTGCCTGAGGATTGGAGGATGGCAAATGTCACGCCGGTCTATAAGAAGGGCAAGAAGGAGGACCCGGGTAATTATAGACCGGTCAGCCTTACCTCCATCCCTGGAAAGGTGATGGAACAACTTATTCTTGACACCATCTCTAGACATATCAAGGATGAGGGGGTCATTAAGAGCAGCCAACATGGTTTTACCAAGGGGAAGTCATGTTTGACCAACCTTACAGCCTTCTATGAGCAAGTAACTAGGTGGATGGATGATGGTAGAGCGGTAGATGTGGTTTTTCTTGATTTCAGTAAGGCATCTGATACTGTCTCCCACAGCATCCTCATAGATAAGCTAAGGAAGTGTGGGCTTGATGATCAGGTAGTGAGGTGGATCAAGAACTGGTTGGAAGGAAGAAGGCAGAGAGTTGTGGTCAATGGGGCAGAATCTAGCTGGAGGTCTGTGACTAGTGGAGTCCCTCAGGGGTCAGTGCTGGGACCAGTGCTGTTTAATATTTTCATCAACGACCTGGGTGAGGGAACTGAATGTACCCTCAGCAAGTTTGCTGATGATACTAAACTGGGAGGAGTGGCTGACACACCAGAGGGCTGTGTTGCCATTCAGGAGACCTGGACAGGTTGGAGAATTGGGCAGAGAGGAACTTGATGAAATTCAACAAGGGCAAGTGTAGAGTCTTGCATGTGGGGAAGAACAACCCCATGTACCAGTACAGGTTGGGGGCTGACCTGCTGGACAGTAGTGAAGGGGAAAGGGACCTGGGGGTCCTGGTGGATAGGAGGATGACCATGAGCCAGCAAAGTGCCCTTGTGGCCAAGAAGGCCAATGGCATCCTAGGGTGCATTAGAAAGGGTGTGGTTAGTAGGTCAAGAGAGGTTCTCCTCCCCCTCTACTCTGCCTTGGTGAGGCCGCATCTGGAATATTGTGTCCAGTTCTGGGCCCCTCAGTTCAAGAAGGACAGGGAATTGGTTGAAAGAGTCCAATGCAGAGCCACAAAGATGATTAAGGGAGTGGAACATCTCCCTTACGAGGAGAGGCTGAGGGAGCTGGGTCTCTTTAGCTTGGAGAAAAGGAGACTGAGGGGTGACCTCATCAATGTTTACAAATATGTAAAGGGTGAGTGTCAGGATGATGGAGCTGGGTTTTTTTCAGTGATGTCCAGTGATAGGACAAGGGGCAGTGTGTGTAAACTGGAGCATAGGAGGTTCCATGTGAACACCAGGAAAAATTTCTTTACTGTGAGAGTGACAGATCACTGGAACAGGTTGCCCAGGGGGGTTGTGGGGTCTCCTACACTGGAGATATTCAAGGCCCGCCTGGACAAGTTCCTGTGTGGTGTACTCTAGTTTACCCTGCTCTTGCAGGGGGGTTGGACTAGATGATCTTTTGAGGTCCCTTCCAACCCTTGGGATTCTGTGATTCTGTAATTTTGCTTAAAAAAAAAACGTGGATTTTACCCTCTGCATGCTGGCCAAGAATAAACACCTGCATCAGTCTGATTAACAGACCCATTATCTATTTGTCACATTAGAGTCTAAGTCACAGCTAGACTGTGAAGATTTCCATTGGAGAAATCTGCATTTCGCTTAGTTCGCCAGACTAAATATCTGAGGCCTCTCCACAGCTGGTGGAAAGACATAAGGAGCTGCAAAGGGCCATCAGTTTGTCCCAGAGCACAGGGTGCAAGATGGGCTGGATGAAGCATTCCCCAGGAAGTCACTGCCCCAACAAACAGGAGCCAGGACAAAAGCCCAGCATCATGAGCTCTGCCAGCTCCGCTTGCAATGATGTAGCCTTGGTGATGTGAAGCTTTCGGTGGGTAGCAGCATTGCACCTGACCCTGATCCTCTGCCAGCAGCACCAAGTATCTCCTCCCCGCCAGAGAGGTGCTCAGGAGCAGTGGAGAAAAGCCAGCCTGGAAGCTGCTCTGGTCAGCACAAGCCTGATCCCACCCAGAGAAACAAGCTCTTGCTCTGGCTGACCTCCAGTGGCTCATATCCACCAGGGTTACAGTGGATTCAGCTCTCTTTTAGGACACCCCTTTATAAAGGGTTAAGGAAGGATTTGAGCAACCCAGAGAAACAAACAGATTTCCTTCAGCAGTGCAGAGAAATTGGCAGGCTTTGGGCTCATGCTGCCGCTCTGAAGGCATGTTTCCACTTTACTAAGACCCTAATGAATTACATATGGAGAGCCCTGGATCCTTACAGAGCCCAGGGCTTTACTGCTGCTGCTCACATATTTATTTCTGCTGTTTGCATAAACCCAATGTATCTGGACTAACAGCAGCTCCCAGTCTGTGCAACATAGTGATGCCAATGTCAGGAATATGCAGCTACTTTCACCCTCAGCAAACCAAACTACCAACTCTCACACTTCTCTTGCTCTGCACAGCAAGTCTTACCTGCAGTCCACATAGTCAACAACCTCTTGCACCGCTGTTACCAGCAGTATATATCACCTATCATGAAAGCTGACTGCCTTGGGGCAAAATAGATAGTGGATCCCCCGGCACTGAAGAATCAGCCCCAACCCCTCCAGAAGACTCTGTTCTTATTTCTCAAATGACTAATCTATGGCTATTGGAAACAGCCTTCTTGGGAATAAAGCAATTTCCAAAAAGCTGTCTTTTAAAGTAATAGCTGCATTATTCAAGGTTATTTTTCTGTAACTCTAAAGTCAAAGACCTATGGGTATTTACATTTTAACATCTACTCTTTTTTCCTTCTTCCCACTTAGCAAAAGCTCCCATAGGGTAAACTCAACCATGAAGAATAGTGAAGGCTCAGACAAGATACTTTTAATAGAGACCATCTGTAACTAAAAAGTACCCAAGTAAGAGTTTGCTGTAGCTGGTCCAAAAAGGGGCAAATGTGCCATTGGCCTCATCAAAATCTATGGTCTTCTTTCAACCTTTCCTATGCACTGCGGAGGTGTTCCCAGTTTGTTTTCAGATCACACTGATTTATTAACAGCTTGTCAACCACTTTGAGACTACAAAGACTTTTGCAGCTCCCAGTACTTTATTCCCTTTCCTTTGTGTCTTTTCTGATGTAGCTTGTGCTCCGCTAAACATGAACACTTAAGTGATTAAAGGCAGAAGCTGCCAGGTGGATCTACAGAGCCTGTGAGCTCCCCAGATGCTGCCTGAAGGGTGGAGCTGTCATGAACCAGCCTGGTCCATCACAGGAAGACCAGAGCCTGGTGGAGCCAAGATGCATCAGAAGCCTTCCTGAAGGTATAAGTATGAAAATCCCACTTTGAAGGTTGGGTTTTATCAAGGGAGGCAGGAGGGATCTTTGCTCAGAGCAGGCTGATCTGACCCGTTAAGATGGAAAGGCACTCCAGGCAGCACTGAAAGCAACAGGTTCAGCAGCAGGACATGCAGGCAGGGGTACCCGAGTAAGCTTGTACCCTGCCTGCAACAGCAACAGCAAACATTGCAACTTCCCTGAGGAACACAAGGTATGTACCAGGCAATGTCCACTGGCCCCTCTCGTCTGCCCTCTGCCAGCCCTCCCTGAAGGACCTGTTGAGTAGATAGCAAAAGCTCAAGCTCAACCACTAACTACATTGAGCTACAGAAATACAAAAGCTGTGATCTCCCTTATGTGTAGCCCTATTGAATTTATACTACTTTTCTACTTTAGCATTACCCATCAAAGAGGTCTGTGACTCTCAACAGTTGCCATAAATGATTTTGGTGTCCTGCACAGATGGCCAGCTGGTGGGAATCATCTCATTCTCTGTCATCACACCTGCTTGTCACACCACACAACCAGCCTGAGAGTGGGTAACCCGAAGTGGGAAGTGACAAGACACACTGGCTGCTATCCGAATAAGGATTCTTGGAAAATTCAGGCTGTGAGTAGGCAGTACTCTCTCCCAGTGGATTGGAAATACATAGTACTCTATATGAACGCTGTCGTGGAGCAACCTGCTTGTGTGCTTGCCATAGAGCAAGAGTTTGATGAGAAGGACAAGTCTGAATGCAAGTCTGTGGAAGGAGAGAAAACAGAGAGAGCAGGTGCAGAGGAGCAGGAGTGCTTCTGCCCTACTATGTTGTTCTCTCCCCTATGGAGAAACCCTTCTGCCGATACACAGCACAAACCAGGCTCCTTGCATATCACTTAGGTTAAAAAAATAAAAAGGGAATAGGTCCTGAGAATAGGAGCAGCAGAACTGAGGCTGGAAAATAATTAAAGAGAAGAATGGAGAGAGGGATCAATGCATGTAAGTGCTTTCATGTCAGCAGCATTAACAACAACCAAAAAAGAAAATCAAAGAGAGCAGTAAAACAGGGGCTTTCTGTCACTTGTTACTTACCTCCCTCAGAGGCATTGGAGGCAAAAACAGTGTCTACGCCTTTCCTTGGAAACCAGGTCATGGTGTATTTGCAACCAACACTATTACCATATGATAGCAGGAGCTATGGGAACAATTCCCTCTCCTCCAGGCAAAAACACTCTGGGAAAAGTTCTCCCTGATAAAGTATCTCTGCCTAATACACACCCGCTCATACAGCAATGCAAATTTGGTCGAGTTGTTTGCAGGACCAACTCTGCAAACACAGTTAATTTCTTCTGGTTTTCTCTCTACACAAATCAAGTCAGTTCGTGGATCTCTAGGGAAGGTAGAGGGGACAGTGTTCCTGGGAAGCTAAGGAAGGAGGAAAGTAATGAAGTGATTGAGTTTTTTTGTCTGTCTGAATTAAACTTTTAACTCTACTTGTTTATTCAATGCTGCTAGCTGGGAAAGTTAATTTATTCATGTGCTAGTGTTTACTGCTGATAGCTGGTTAGTTCCATTGCAAAATTACCTACTGATAGGGATCATGCAGCTTCTGTAGGAGTAATTTTTATTGGCATTAAAGCTAGATCAGTTGATCCTATCGAGTTTGTCTGGTTTTCCACCCACTTTCCCTACACTGGAGCCTCAGCCCATGCCCCTGCAACAGAGCAGCACCCACTACCAGCCTCAGTCCACACAGCTCACTCTCTTGTTTTGGCCTGCCTAATGTAATACTTAGATTTCCTCTAAATGATGGGCAACTAAAGAGCTAAGTAACTACAATTACTTACATACTGCCTTATGGACCTCTAATTAAAACATGTGGAAAAATACGTCATTACTTCTAGGCCCAAGCCTAATTAAATTATAAGCCTGCCAATTTTAAGACTCTGAAGACTTAACACAGTGCCCTAAGGAAAAACAACAAAAATCTACAGTTTACCACAGCCTGTTTTGTGCTTCTGCAAGAGGAAAGGCAGCTTCTCACCACACTCATGGGAAACACAGGCTCTGCAAAGATTTGGCAATTATGGTTATCACATATGACTTTGTCCCAGTGCTTAACATGACTCCTCATTGCCTGGGATACATAGATCTGTGTTTCCTAACAGAACCTGCTCTGCTGACAGCAAGTTGTTTTGTTTGCCTGCCACTCAGTCTCAACTCTATCTTTAGAGAAGGCTGGATGCCTTTTTCTAGTTGCCTTCAGTACATCAGTGATCCCCACAACTGCAGTAAAATATCTGACATTAAATCCTGCATATCTATGTCCCACAGACAGATATGTCGAGGTAAAGGGAATCTATCTCTCTGATCTCTGGACAGGAAAAGAGGCAGGTGACTTCTGCAGGGTCACACAAGAAGACAGCAGCACATGAGAGAAGTGAACCTGGTTCCTCTGCATCCCTGACTAAACCTAACTGCTTTACAATAACTTTTGATGGAAGCTGTTCTGGTGGAGGCCTGGAAAGAAAAATCTCTCAGAAAATCCCTTGGTACATCCCAAACTATTTTGTCCTGCTAGTCAGAGGATCTGCAGCTCTGTTAAAGCAGGAACTCTGTGGAAAGTCCAGGGATAGTCGGCCATGGAAATTCTCAAGCCCAATTGCTTGTATGTTGAATGTTTAAATTCTCTGACTTCAAGAGATGGGAGTATCAATGTTTGGAAAGGACATAATGTACCATAAAGGCATAAGTCAAGACAAAAACAATGTAAATAAAAATATATAGTAAATTATTAAAAAAATAATTAAGAAAACCCAGCAAACACAACCAAACAAAACCAACCAGTAAACAGAGTTTACTCTCTTCTAATATGGAGCAATCTAGAGTTTAACAGCTTCATTCCAACTGATATGAGAGTTTAAAATAATACAACTACCACGGTGGAGAGAGGGTTAACCTTTACCCCCAGACTACCGCAAAACGTAAATATCAGCCCTGAAGGGCCAGCAGTTGTGTACATTGGCAAGGAGCAGCACTGTAAAATAGGGTGGAAGTTTCCTGTTAGACAGGGAGGCAGGAAAGACTGCACCACACTGCAGAAAAGCTCCCATTAACAGCTCAGAATATTCCTCCATTTCCTTCACCTCTCCACCACACTGTCTGCAGACTCCTGCCTGCAAGCCCCCACTGTAAATTACCCCCTTCCAGTCAAAGTCTTCACTGCCAAAGTCACCTTGTGAAATGATGATCAACAAGACCATTTCAAGTGGAGCTACAAACATACCTCCTGGGCTTTGCTGTGGTCTCTTCTCCTTGCAGAGCTCTTCAAGATGCTCTGTCCAAGATCAACCCAGGCACAACCAGCTTGATGGCCAAACAAAGTCCTGGTGACTGCTGCATCCTGCTGGGGTGCCCACAGCCTTCACCTTTACGGGTGCTTCAAGATCATATGGAGTCAGCTGTACAGAAGTGGCAGGGACAACATTACTCCTTGCACAGATTACAAAAGAAAAGAGGAAAATGTTAGCTGAAAAACAGGAAGCAGCTTGTGTGATAAGCTGCAGAAGCCATTATCTGTATAATAAACCTATACTTTTGTCTACTTGCATAGCATTTCAAAGTGCCATGATGGGGAGAAGAAAACACCATAAAAAGAAGAGATTACATCAAAGCAACCTAATTTCCTTCTACAGCAGTGTAAAGAGGACCTGGGGAGAGGCAGAAAAGTGCCAAAATGCAAGGAATCTCTCTCAAAAGCCTCACCAAGTTCAAAACTCACACAGTACTTCAGGTACTGAGGCTTCAGGTCTGGGAGGCTTTGTTCCCTTCACAGGTAAAATAGCTCTGCCAGAGAGCCAAGGCCCAAAATTTGGACTGCTGGTGTGACTCCCGTGGTCCTGGTGATGCTTTCTGAAACTCTGTTGAGACATGACACTCCACATTGCAAGTTCACCTATATGTAACTATCTCATGTGGCATACGATGTCTCTTATATGGCAAGAAATATATTTTGGTGCTATTTTACCTAAGCCTCCTGTGTGTGATGGTTACAAGGAAATTTGGGGAACTAAACAATGTACTGTTTGGCATATGTAGCATTCTCCTCCTCTCCACCTGCATTTTGACCACAGTGCTGTGCACACCAACCTCCTCCTCATCATCAACCTTCCAGCTCATATGGATTTACAAACCACACATCTCTGTACTATGGAGCTTGTTATCTGTGGTCTCTCCTCCAGTGTGGCAGGAGCAAGCTGATTTCATAGGCTCCAAAGAGAGGTCTGAGTGCTACAGATCCATGGGATCCTCCAGTCCTGCCTTAGCTCAATGTGCCCAGCACATCATTTTCATACAGTGGAAACAGTTTCTGAATTCCCTCAATATTTGGCACTCCCTGTATGCAAACGA